AGGGCATCATAAAAGCACTTTGGATTTTTACTATTAGTGTAAAACAGAATTTCATCTGCCTTCATGCTGAGTATCTCTCTAAGCTTCGCTGGCACTTTACTTCTGACAGTGTTAAAGGCTGCCTTTCTTAGAGATGGATAAACTATCCTGCTGGTAAACCCTGTGGAGTTCTCATTTTTTCATTTAGCAGCTTCTGAATTTCCCCATCATTTCTGTCAAACCAGTCTTGATGTTTGTGAGTGTTCGAGCCCAGATAAGTAAATGCAGCATTGCATACCAAATCTCTGAAAGCTGCCCACTCCTTTTCTGCTCGACTGTTGCCAACTGTGTGTTGGCTTCGCTTTCCCTCCAAGTTGGCAAGAAACCATTTCAGCTCCAAGAAGCTGTTGACATTGAGTCTTTTGATAGTCTCCATGCTTTGGGGCCGCCATTTTTGTTGAATGCAAATGATTGGTCCAACACTCTGCACCACACATCACCTTTGTTACTCTCCATCCTGTTTGTTTCTTCTCCTTACAAGGACATAGTCTATTAAATGCCAATGTTGGCTGTGAGGGTGCATTCATAGTTTTATTGCATTTAGGTAAACGGAAGACAGTGTTGGTGTTGGTGATGAGGTCTTGAGACACACAAGCCTTCAGTTGGAGGGTTAGGCATCCTATACTCAACATTTGCAAAAGAAAACTCACTATCTTACCCCAAAAGCCTTTCCTTCTTCCTAACTTGCCCTGTGGAGGGTACAGCCATTGTCCTAGTCACCCAGGTTCACAATCTCAGTGTGATTACCACCCTAACTCATACTCAACTCACATATCTGTTCTATTGTCAAATTTTGTCATTTGTATCTTCATAACACCTTTCATGTTGCCTCCTAAATGGCCTCCTCGATTCAAATATCTCCCCACTCCCAGCTGCCAAAGAATTTTTCCTACAGAACAGGTCTGACTTTGGTACCACTCAATTGATTCCAAAAGTTACCTCCAGGGGCAGCTAGGTGGCGCAGTGAATAGAGCTCTGGCCTTGGATTCAGGAGAACCTGAGTTCAAATCCAGCCTTAGACACTTAACACTTACTAGCTGTGTGACCCTGGGCAAATCACTTAACCCTGATCGCCTCACCAAAAAGCCAAAAAAAAAAAAAAGTTACCTCCAGGATCTATTGAATCTACTACAAGTAGCAGGAGCTGCAGAAGTAGCGATGACAGTAGTTGCAGCAGCAGCAGCAGTAGCAGTAATTTATAGTAATAATAGCTAGCATTTTAATAATTTCTATGTGCCAGGCATTGTGCTAAGTACTTTATAAATATTATCTCATCTGATCCTCACAACCACCCTGGGAGGTAGGTGCTATTATTATTCCTACTACAGATGAAATAATTGAGGCTGAGAAAGATTAAATGGCCTGCCCAGGGCCACATAACTAAGTGTCTGAGGTAGAATTTGAACCCAAGTCTTCCTGACCCCAGATCTAGCACTCTCCACATTACACTGCCCAGGTGCCTCCCTAACAGAAAGACAAAGGCCTGGATGAATTCTCTAATCTCGTTCTTGTTTCTTAATCCTTTGGCCAACCTGGACACATCTGTGCCCCCAGGGAAAGCAAACACCCAGGACAGGGCTGCCTCCAGGACATGGACAGCTCCTGTTCGTCTACTTGTTTTTCAGTCGTGTTTGACCATGACACCACTTGGGATTTTCTTGGCGGAGATACTGGAGTGGTTTGCCATTTCCTTCTCCGGCTCATTTTACAGATGAGGAAACTGAGGCAAAGAGGGTGAAGTGACTTGCCCAGGGTCACACAGCTAGTAAGTGTCTGAGGCCACATTTGAACTCAGGAAGATGAGTCTTCCTGACTCCGGGTCTAGTGCTCGATCCACTGTGCTACCTAGCTGCCCCTCATCCTCAGGGAGGGGAGCAGTAAATTAAAAAGCATTTTTCCGAGTTGTTTGCATCCTGACTTCCCCCACACACACACACAGAGCCTGCAGAGCAAATAGGGTCCTATTAATCATTGACAGAATCAGGTAAAACCGTAACATCAAACAGCACTCTATTTCTCTTCCTTCCTTAACCTTCCAAAGGAAACAAAACCACTCACTCTGGTGGGTGGTGAAGAACATTTCTGGGGGCAGCTAGGTGGCGCAGTGGATAGAGCACCGGCCCTGAAGTCAGGAGGACCTGAGTTCAAATGTGGCCTCAGATACATAACACTTACTAGCTGTGTGACTCAGGGCAAGTCACTTAACCCCAATTGCCTCGCCAAAAAAAAAAAAAAAAAAAAAAAAAAAA